CCTCCCCTACATGATACCAAGCCACCCCACCTCAACCTCAGTCGCTCCCTCCTACCCATGACCTCAAGCCCACCCACTTCAACCTCAGCCTTCCTCCCTACCCATGACCCCAAGCCTACCCCACCACAACCTCAGTTCTCCCCATGATCCCCAGTCAACGGTGGGGTGGGCTTGGGGTCATGGGTAGGGAGGGAGGGCTGAGGTTGTGGTGGGGTGGGCTTGGGGTCATGGGTAGGGAGGGAGGGCTGAGGTTGGGGTGGGGTGGAGGTTGGGGTGAGGTGGAGTTGTGGAGAGGGTGGAGGAGGGCTGAGATTGAGGTGGGATGGGATCGTGGGAATGGTAGGGGAAGGCTGAGGTTGGGGCGAGGAGGTGGGGTTGGTGTGAGCTGGCATCGTGAGAAGGGTAAGGGTGGGATGATGTTGGGGTGGGGTGGGGTCAGGGAAGGGAGGGTTTACTCCAGGGAAAAAATAATAACATTTATTTTTCGGGGGCTACTTATCAAGCTCGCGTGCATGAAAATAGCACTCTAAAATTTAGTTTGCATTGAACTCTATGCAAATTTACGTGAGCTCTTTTTGGCATTTCGGGGGCTAAACTGCCCCAAGCCCCCCCGAGTATTTTTTTCACTGGTTTTACTCACCGTAGGAGACCCCGCCCGAGCCGTTCGTATCAAACAGCTGGAACGCAAACAGGTACATCGCGTCCGGCGCGGTGAGGATGCCCTCAAACGAGTGAAACTCATCGAACGATATGAGGCTGAGGAACACAGAGAAAGACAAATCATTAGTACCATCGAAAGAAAGTTCAAAATCGAAGAATTTAATTAACAGATTGAATTCGTATATGCAGGTAGAGCAAATGAGTCTCCTTCTCACAAGTCAGGTGAGACAACATATTGCATATATATATATATATATATCAAGAGTACATAATAGAGATTACGTATATAATACATCTCTATTATGTACTCTTGATATATATATATATATTGCGCATCTCTCTCTCTCTCTCATGTAGCTTTGTGAAGGAAGGCGTAGTGCAGGCACGCATGCAAAATGTTCTACGAGGAATTAAAAAAATTAGAATTTTTTTTTTTTATTAAAGAATAAATAAACGGACAGATTGCTGCTGCTGCAGCACATTACTGCTAATTACAGATTACTTAACGCAATCAAAACGGCAACACGTCTCGCGGACACGTGGCGCCCTCTGTAGCAAACGCCGCCACCCCACGTCGCCCACTCACCCATCCTTCGTGTAATCTGCAGCGCTGGCGAGGAAGGTGACAGTCTCCTTGTTGTAGTTCTCCTCCGCGTACAGTCCCAGGTAGCCGCGAACGAAATCATCCGGTGTCATAAACCGCTCCCCATTCTTCTCCACAGACGTGTACTGTCGAGAGTTTGAGAGAGCAAAGCAAACAAAATATCAGTGGGGGGGCAAAGGAAACAAACTCGCAATCGCCGTTTCGACGACGAACATGACTATCGACTTTCTCCCCTCCAATAAATTTTAGCGGTAAATTTAGGGGTAAATCGTGAAAAATTGCTTTAGTGGTGACGAATAATAGGGGTAAATCGTGAAAAATTGCACACTTAAAATCTTGTCTAGACGCCGGGCAAGTTTATTTACGATTGCAGAGGCAATTGCGCGAGTGCCATTTAGCGAGATGTCAACAGCAAGAATAGCGGTACAGTAAATACAAGTATCAAAAATACAAGTATTATTCCCCACCCGTAAAGAGAAAAACACATGAGTCGGTACGTTCTGCGAAGGAAAGACACGGGGGAAGATTCTTCTTGAGATAGTCGCTAAACTGCCACCATTCTTTGACGACAGCAGTTCTCGTTCTAGTTAACAGTTTAATATAGTTTTATTTTAATTTAGTTAGTTTAATTTAGTTCAGAATTTATCACCGTCGATATTTTCAGCGACGTAGAACATTGTTCGCACGTTCACGGAACACACCGGTGAAACGCTCGTCACCCTACCTTGTCACATTTACTTATTTACACATTTACTTTGTCACATTCATTGTCACATTTAAGCTGGGTTTACACGCCCAACTTTATCAAATGGGCGAATTGGGCCAATTTCGCAATTATACAACCGACAATTCGCTGTGTAAACGCAAAAGTTGCACGAGCAACTGGTCAATAGCAACTAGTTGGAAGATTAGAACATGTTCTACTTTCACCAGGTCTTTTTTGGAGTTGCCAAATTGCGAAATTAGGCCAACTCGCCAATTTGACAACATAAAGTCGGTAGTGTAAACACAGCTTCACTATTCGTGATGCAGCAAAGAATTCCTTCAATGATTGCTTCCGTCCGGAGTTTTACCGCTGGTACCAGCTGCGTACCAGCTGTCTGACATTTTCCAGTGAAAATTCGTTATGTTAATGTTATTCCCTACAGTAACAGAGTTGTTAGTGTTCTGATCACCCACCTAATATGGTGTAAATAAATCCCTTAACATTTAAACATGTTTATAGGCGGCCCTTCAACATATTATTATATGCCTATCCTCTTCAGAATTTTTCAAACTTGAGCAAGTAGGTAAGTAGGTATGTGTATGTAAATAGGTAGGGTAGCAATTAAAAGAATTATGTGTAAATGATATATCAAGTACTGTTTTATAACATCTATCTGTCAAACAAAATGTAATACTTATGAAGACTTCATTACACTATCAGCAAAAAAATCTGAGGTACATCACCGATTTTTTTCAGCAGAAGAAAAAATACCATTAAAAACTTTTTTTTAAATGACAGATCGTTTTGATGGGTTGGTTGGTATCGAGGGAAAACGCACAGAATTTTGGTTTATTTTAGGCTAATCTGGTCAAGGCCCTCCAGTGGTCTGTCTGGCTACCAGAAACAGATGATTGATGACCAGTGGAGTTTACACAACTGGCCTCTGATGCCTTGCGGCTTCAGTCAACAGATGTATTTATATATACACACTGCCGTCCTACTATACTGCATCTTCTATAACCATTGGTTTACCGTTACATTGCCGGTTTGATGCGAATCTGTGCCGAAAACGTTCTATTTCGATCCCGTCTCACTCCACATATCCCCCACCTACACCCCCACGTTCTCCTGCACGCCTTAGAATGCAACATCTGTAAGCAATTACGCAAAATGGGATGTTCTGAGAGACTTGGATTTACACAACAGCGTACTACGACCACAAATGCTTCACTCAACTGTACTTTAATCCGGGTTAAAGATTAACGCAACTGCCAAAGGAGAGCACTAACACTGCATTACCAGAGTGTCAACGTTAATGTAACGATAATATGCCCCACATAATGCAGCAATTAATCTATTTAAAGTGGGTGCATTAATAAAGCGGGCATCGCACGTTTGAAATGCATAAAGCCATGGAACTAATCAAGATATACGATCGCTGATTACACGTCTTGCTGCATCATCGGATCATAATGACTCTCACATATCGTCTGAATACGTGACGAGACCCCACAAAGCAGCAGCAAGTGCAGCTTCCATTGCGCACTCAACGAGCCACGTAGACAGACTGCGAAGCCCCATTGATCCCCCCAGCAGCATGCTGCCGGTTTCCGCCCCGACAACCATACCATCACAGAAACTCGATAATTCGCTAACCGAATAAGAGGCAATCCCGTGGCTGCTTTGGAAGGCAGAGCACATACCACTAAAGCTCTCTGACAGGCCTGCCTGCATCAGCATGGGCCGGCACAGCTAAACTGTCCACACAAACATGCTGGCAAAGCTAGATGCATGTATGCATTTTATACGTGTTTGCTCTGTGAGCCAATAGTTGTAAAATCAATCAGCCATGGAATGCCTTTTACCTGTAGCGCGTCGAAGTGTGTGCACTGGGAGTAATAGTGTGGGAAGAGGAGGAGGCTGCCAATTTTAACAAGCTCTCTGGGCGATCGATTGGGTCAAACCACTTTTCACGATGGGGGGGAGGGATGAACTCACACACGCATGCACGTGTTGTGCCACGTGCTCTCCGTGCTAGAAATGAGGACAAGTGAACGAGAGTAGCCAGGGCTTGCTATAAGCAGCATCCATGAAGCCAAGCAGAGGGCGGGAGATGGAGGGAGGGCTAACGTCCTTCAAAGTGTAGATCACTGACCTTCAGGAAAACCTCTCGTAGTGCATCTGGATCCGCCCGTTCTGTCTTCGCCGCAAACTGTAACAGAACAATGGGACTATATTAACCGAGAGAGCACAGTTCGGGCCACAATTAAAAAAATATTTGTTTGCCCTCACCCGACCCAGGCTGAAAAGTTTGGGTAGGTAGGTAAGCAAATTTTTTTGGAGGGGGGTCTTTTTACAAATTCAGCATGGTGTCTACATGCTCGAGTGTGCTTGTGTAAATACAGATTTATATAATGTATAGTAAAACAATTTGTAAAAAAAAAAGAATGGGAAAGATCAAGAAAAATGTTTGAGTCGGCCCCTTTTTGGCGGGTCGGTCGGGTGAGGGCAAACAAACAATATTTTTATTATGGCCCCGAGTAGTTTGAGAGTTCTTGTAGAGTCAATCGGAGTCTGTTTGAATCGCTAACATTCACGTGTGTATGCTCAGAGTATTTCTGTATCTACACACTCACACCGTTTTATGTTTGGTAACTGGTATTGGGACTTTGCCAGCGACGAAAATACACGATGCATTCTAAGTGTATGAATACTCGACTAGCATGTTAGCATGTTGTGATCGAAAGGTTACCTACTTAGTACAACTGAATAAGCTATTAGGTAACAAGTTTGAGGACTTCGAAATGTACTAATTATAAAGCTACACATATAGATACAAGATTCGTCCATCTCTAGGCAACCTACTTATATTGAGTGAGCTGCCCACAGCTTACTCACTATCATCTGTTCTCATACATCAATGGATGCATTAATAAATAATTGATGAATGATGATTGATGATTGATTGACGAATTAATGTTCTCAGTCATTCTCTCATATTCATTCCTAACAATGGTTGTCTGCACGCATGGGTACGTACAGACTACGCATGACTTCCCCACCTCAATAACGCATCTCGTCTCAGAGACGGAATAGTACAATAATGACGGCATCATGGCTCAGCGCAACACAGTTTTATAAACTTCCTAAACATCTTCTGAACAATAACATCTAACAACAAATCTATGTGCTCGATGCACATCCCAGAATGCTTGCGCAGCACTGAATGTTTAAACGTCCATGCATCAAATAATAAAACTTATGCAATATTAACTCAATCTCGCAGATGCAAACGGTTTGTTCAAGGTTTAGACTAAGTTATTTTCTGCTATTTCAGCTTGAATAAATTATTCAACGTCTTTCAGAGGAACAAGACCTGACATTTAAATATTCACAAGCATTCTCTGCCTGGCATTTACAGGTACTGTGAGTACACATAAATTCCAGCATATAATAGATGCAAAAACTACCAAGCCGGTGTACGCGAAAAAAGTGCTGCTAAACATAGAAGGCATTGAGAGAGATGAGAATGAGATCCGCTTCTCTTTCTAAAAACAGACTTGAACAGACACTCTAGAGATAGAAAACCAACAATATATAAATTAATTTAAACTATTTTGAGCAGCAAATATGCCGTTGTCGGTGAAATGTTACAGTTGCAGATTGTCTGCTCGTTACGGAAACGAATAACAAACCACAATTAAATTGTAGTGTAATTATCAACCGGAGTTTACAGGATTGCCAAAAATTTCCTTCCTACATGCTATATATATTATACTTGTCTTGAATAATTCTACGCTTTCCCGCAAAGGGCTATTGTAATGTATACTAAACCTAAATTGTTACTACAGTTAGCTATACAATATTATGTGCCTACCATACAAAGAGAACACTACGGCTCAGAAAAGCTTTGTTCAAGGTACATACCAAATTACAATACATTGAGTACCGGTAATATACATTACTCATTAGTAATATTAGTATTACTATTACTAGTATTACTATTAGTATTAGTATTACTATTAGTATTACTATTAGTTACAAAACACATCAATCTCTACATTCCACACAAATTCCTCCGACTACTACTAATGAGTATAGTATTTATACTAACCCTAACCATACAGGAGATTTATAAATAATTACCATACACATCGCCTGTAAATTAAATAGAACTTAGAAATGGAAGTTTTACTAACCTCGCACAATGCTGTAGGAAGTACCTTGCCCCGTAAAAGTGTGATGTGCTTTTGTACCTAAAACCATACAGATATCGTTTTAACACCAAAAATTGCATTCCTACACACTTTACAAACACACGGTATTAGAAATCGATCAGTGATATCGACTTTTCACCATAAAACTCACTTTATTGAAGAGAGAGCGTAAATTATCACTGGGCGCTGCCATGATGGTCATTTGAACAGTGCTTTATGATTGGATGATGGTTATATGACGTTGCCGTGGAACGATTCCGCCTGGCGTGGACACTGATCACTATTATACTAACTGGGCGTGGACCGTTTACGGTTTAGTTAGCGCACCCGGATATGAACAGGATATGAACAAAAATATGAACTCAATCAAAATTCAAAAAATACTTTACACTTATTAATCGTAGGTGAGGCCTGCATGATTCGAGCGTGGCGTCAAACCCCGATATTGCGCTCTTTACCTGGTGCACATGCACGTGCCGCCATAAAAATGTAATACAAACTAATCTTTACGTCAGTGGGACACATACTGATCAAATAGTTGATGTGCGATATTGCATTTATATCAGAAGTAGTTGGGCGCATGATAAACAGATATGGTAGCTCTTTCTATCGTGTACTCCTACTCATATATATCGCCCTATTATCAGATAGGCCTACATGTACCAAATCTACCAGAAATCTCTAGGGAATCCAACCGCAAATCACCGGATGGATTTTTTTCAAGCGGTAATCCATATCGTGTTTGCAATCTGATTAGTCATGTTTAGTTATGACTTATGTTTAGTCATGTTTATTGCTGCTTTAGTACATCCGTTCGAACGTAATGCATATGCGTCATGCGTATATGCACCTCGGGCGAGTTAGATTTCCGAGTTCTGATTTCTGAGTATGATATACAATTAATGCATGTAGACTAATAACGCTGGATCTGGTAAGATATATTATGTGGAGAATGAATGAGGAGGCGTGATGGTTCCGGCACGTAGGGAATTAAGGGGGTGCGACGGATGCGCCCCTCCCCCACCCAGAGGCTGCGGAGGTCCACTTTTTTGTGTGGACAAAATCCATTTTGAAGTTCAAAAATGTGAGAAATGTCCACGTTTTGAGGTTCGCTTTTGGCTGCCTGCTTTCATATCATACTGCCTTCAAAACGCGCGTAATGCAGTCTCAGACAACCTAATTTTCAAAATTTCCCGGAAAGGCATGCTCCCGGAACCCCCCCCCCCCTATAGAGACTGGCGATTCCTGCGCTCGTTAGGTCCGTATACTCGTTGGATCGCACCTTCCCGTAAAAAAACCTGCCTACGGGCCTGTGGCACTGATCTCTATCGTACCACGTTCACGCGCTCGCGCGCACGCCCACATATAGCGCTTACACGCTCACGCGCGCAAACACCGGCGTGAACAAAGATCATATAATATACGCACGTACGCACAAGCACACTTATACATACACACACGAATACGCACTCGCACATGCACCCTCAAACGCACGCGTGCACACACACACGCACGCGCACGCACACATGCAACGATTATTCATTATTTACACCATTTATTGCGACCATAAATATTCTACGTTGAAGTATTCTCATCTATCAACGTTGACAACAAATCATTTTCATTTGTCCGTATAGTTATTCTTGCCATAAAAATGCTGCCAAACAGATAACCAAAGAAGTGCTGAACATCTTAAATAAGCTACATTTGTCACTATGTAGTTGTTAGTTTTGTTACCCACAAGTTAGCAATTGCGTATACAGTTAATTCCAACGCATTAACTCCTACCAAGGGGCTACCAAGGGCCAACAATTAACTCATACGCATTAAATCAACCTCATAAATCAAGAGTTAGAATATCAACTTGTCAACTGGTGTTCCGCACAACCTATATAATTATTGCAATATATAGGTTATAGAGTAATGAACTAGAGTGATAATAGCCGTCGTCAGAGTTTTCATCTCTGTAGTTTATTGGCGTGCGCTGAATATTCTGAAGCCTGTGTGTGATAATGCTGGTGGTCGCTCGCTGCGAATCACGGGGAAATGACGGGGAGAAGGCGAGATTCACTCAGAGAGAGAGGAAGAGGGGAAGAGCGAGCATGAGAGAGAGAGGAGAGAGAAGGGGGTAGCGATGAGAGAGAGAGAGAGAGAGAGAGAGAAAGAAAGAGAGGGATAGAGAGAGGAGAGAGAGAAAAAGAGAGGGGAGAGAGAAAAATAGAGGAAGAGAGAGAAAGAGAGAGAGAGAGAGAGAGAGAGAGCTGCTATGAACCGAGGGATAATCCGGGGGGTTTAGCTAGACTAATCTTGTCTACACAGCTCCTTGATCCTGCATGAGGTACGTGAGTGCATGACGGCATGCATTGTACGAAAAAAAAACGTTGTATGGTGGCTCAAATGGCCATTAAACTCTTCATCTAAAGGCTGTGGACACGATCACCACTGCTACCTTTTCACTATCGCTGATAGCTCGGGACGTGACAGCTATAGGGATAGTGCTGTTTGTGATTTAAAAAATTCGAAACATGATACCCAATTTCCCATAGCTGAAACTCGATCTACCGACGTTAGTGGAAAAAAACGTTTAATTAAGCGTGTCATTAATAAACGCAGTCCGGTGGCTATCATCGTGTGTAGTTTGTTCTTCATTGTTAATTTCGCCTGTGTGCGATTCTGCCTGGTTCTTATTACTACGTGTACAATATTATATCGTGATGATTTATAATCATTACATCAAGAATGAAATTGACACCGTTACAATGAAGGCTGCATGCGTGTTTATATACCATGATATTGTTACATCCAGTATTGCACTTCATGCTTTCAGGCGTTTGTGTTGGGACATCTTGTATTATCTTGTATTATCTTATTGTTTTGTCTTATCCTGTATATCTACTACCTTGTATTATCTAGTCTGTTTGCTGGAATGGGAATGCATTATGCTGAGAAAGTTACATAGGTTAATATAAAAATTTTAATATTAACATTGGTTTGCATGTGGCGACGATACCTCACCTACATGCATTAGGAAAACAATAACGTCAAAATTTCAATATAAGTAAATTGTATTACACGTACCATAATACATCCATTAAAATAGCATTATTAAATTTGATTATTACAATCATTTGTTCTAGTTGAACATAAAATAAGGCAATACTATATGTGTCATTTCAATTTCTATATGTGTCTATCGTTTTGGCATTTCCTTATTAACACAGACCTGCATTGTACACATAATGGGCGCGTTTGTTTGGGCGGATCATACGATCGCAAACAAACAGACCCCGCGTCACACGCTATCGAAGGTTTATCACATTATCATCATCCTAGTTAACCGCGTGCGAGGCTACAGAGTTTTGTAGCTGCAGAACTCGGCTCACTAGCACCCTCTGCACCGTTGACACGTCTATTGAAGACAACCGACTCGCCGCGTCGCTCCCGGTGCGTGACTGACATTCGGTTGGCCTTGGGTCATCTGTCAGAGGCACGACGCACGGCCGACTCGAAGGAAGGGTCAAGGTCGTACCGCCCGATGTGAAGGTCGCGGGGTGCCGCTCGCGACTGCTGCCTTCACTCCCGTCGCTCTTAAACGGGACGGCGTCGGTGGCAGGATTTCCGGTCGCCGTCAACGGAGACGTCCGCGTGATTTTCCTGAAGCCGGTCTGAATCGCACGCTTCGGTTTCGTCCCCGACGACACGGGAGGCCTGACAGGGATGATCGGGAGCCGAGGGGAAGCATGTCGCGATCTCTGTCCTTCAGTGCGCTTTGATGAAGGCTCCCTTAGCAGACATGATTTGTGCTTATTCTGTGGCACTGGGCAGTTGGATAGGAGCATCTTCTCCAGCGAGTTCCTCAGATGCCTCATATCTACGGATAAAAACAGTCAGGAAGCAAAATATTTATCAGCATTATACATATGAAAAACATTAGATAGTGTATTATCATATCATTCCCGTTTACTTGTTTATTAAAAATACTCTCACCGGTAAGGGAGGGCTCATCGAATTGGCTGGAACGTTGATGTTGATATTCTACCTCTTCTTCCAAGCAATACTGCAAGAAATGATATCAAACTAATCACATTAGCCTGAGCATGAACCCTTGAAACCCAACAGCATCTATGCAAAAAATCAAGACATTTCAAATTAGCCAATCATTTGTGTACACTCTCTTGCATACAACTCGACATTATTAGACAGCTTATGAAACCGATTAATAACACTGGAAAACTTCTCAACATATTAGATGGAGTAGACAAAGGTTTTTAGCTGAGTGAAACCTCCATCACTCATGAGATAATGCTACCTGTAGATAGCGGATATTGCGAGTCAGGTGCGAGACTTCTTCGAGCAGTGTGGCCTGCAGGTGATGTATGGTGTCGGTGACATCGGCATCTGTCAGGCGGCAGTCTACGTCTGCGATGCTCAATTCTGCTGCGTTATGGACACAGCTGGAATGAATGTTACCAATACATTTTTTACAAGATATATGGCAAGTTAAGTTATTATTATATTATATATAACGTTGTTTTGGGGAATACTTGTATATAACGACATACAGAAGCCACTCTGATCAATGTTATACTTATTTGTTTGTTTATCCGTAATTTCACACACCTGTTTGTGAAGGATGAGGATCCAACTGCAGTTTTGCTCTCACCACTGAATCCAAGATCAAGAGGTCTGGTTGGCATACTTGCCTTTTTATCTAGAATGACAAATTATACTTATTAGAAAACATTGGATTTACTGGAAATCATATGGTAATTACCATTATATTTACATATTAATATCTTTTATAAAAATAGAGCTGCGACACCGACTAGCCAAAGCCATGCAGGGAATCAGAGATAAATCTGTTCCCCTACCGCCGCACATGCACATAACATGACAGGTGTATCAGGCGTAAAGCTATACCTTCTTTAAAGGCATACTGCACAACTGCAGAGTTCAACAAATCTTTTGCCCTTCCATGAGCCCCTCCCTCGTTAAGCAAGGTCACAAAGTAGCGAATCTCTTTTCTTAGACGTTCTCTTGCCTCTGGTGGCTCCGGAAGTTTGGACACTGTTGGAATTTGTGGTGCCCTTAATTGGGAAGCCTGCAATATCTCCAGCAGTGTCTTTACCTGGTAATGATAATTCATTAACAATTATGTCACAAATAATGTTAACTAAACGTTAAATTTATTAAATGTAATTAATAGTTGTTCACAAGTTCTATCTTTACGTTCTCCGTTCTATACGCCAGAACAAATTTAAGTTGGGGTACATTAATAATTATTATTACTCAATCTAATCCTTACTCTAGCAATACAATTTAAAAGACTAAATCAAGCTTTTTACTTCATAATGCAGTTCTAATGTTTGCTCCACTAGAGATTCTCCCAGCAATTGCTTGATTTCCTGTTGTTCGCTGGGGCTGAACACCGCTTCTAACGACTTCCACAACGATGATGTAGGCGTGTAACACTGAGGATTCGTATCCGCACTCGAATCTTCTTTCTCGGCTAGTACAGCACTCATGTTTTACACTGAATATATTCATAATCCTGCCTCCGTCTGTGCTGTTGAAGTTATTATTTCTTGTAGTACTGGTAGTTGGAACTTGCGACCTGTCCTAGTAGTAGTACTAGTACTAGTAGTAGCACTCGTACTGCCACCGGCTAAGTGACAGAAATACACTACTCATTACTCCATTAGGCCTGTAGGGTGACTGTAGGCTATACAATATTCAATAATACACTATCATCACTGACATCAGATATCAGCGGATACCGGTATCATCACATCAGAGATCACCAACGAACACAATCATTGATTCAGTAATACATCGCAGTCGAAATAATATCAAACTACTCGTCATATTTCCAATTCAATATTGTTCCAATCTGATACATACTTCTTGCGCTCAAACATCTCTAACATAACATTTCACTTTCATATCATATATCTTATTGTCCAGCAAATGCCACTTGCTCAGCCTTTACGTTTACCATAGTTACGAGCAAACACATCCGTGCTGCCATCTACTGAGAGAATTATTATTAAATGGTTGCGGCACCCAAGCGCGTGTGTATAATACGTGTGTCACGGTGTGTGTGTGTATGTGTGTGTGTGTGTGTGTGTGTATATATGTGTATATGTGTGTGTGTGTGTATATGTGTGTGTGTGTGTATGTATATGTGTATGTATATGTGTGTATA